CATTGCTGAGATGCGCTCGCAAGCGTTGCCAGTTTCTGAGATTTAGCAGATGAGGCAGAGAATCTGGTACCACCCCAGTTATTTCGGAGTGCAATACCCCCAGTCCCTGCCAGCAAGTACTGGGCCATCCTTTGATTTGGCACAGGCCTTCTCGTTTCTGGGTGCCTTCAAAGGAAATGAAGGGCCTATAAAGCCAGAATATATAGAAGTGGTACTTTTCATGTCTCAGAAGCGAGTGCTACGGTTGGATATGTAGTCGGGTACTTCCAGAACCTTTGCATCATAATCCCGTCCGCCAAGAAACAACCCCTGACAATGAATGTTCCCAAGCCAATATAATACCAATTTCCAATAGGGGGAGTCTTCCGGGTTTTATTGTTGTAGAAGGAGGTGACGGTGACGATGAACTTTGCGGGAATCCAAGAAGGATTCTGCAGATTGCCAGCTGCATGAGTCCTCCTCTGGTCTGCTAAAAGATCCCAGGTGGAAGTTTCCAAGAATCAAGGGGTCCCTGTTCGGAGAGTCCTTATGACAAGGCCTTCAGCATTTGGAGGTGTATATGGCGAACCCCTTTGTTTCGAGACCCCATGTGTATGACGAGCTATCCAGCGGGAAGCATGAGTGCCCTCCCCTAACATAACCCCCCGCCATGTTTATTCCCACTGCTCTTTCGAGGTCTTCAGCGGGCCTTTTGGTGTCCATCATGGACTCTTCCATATATACATGCACCAAAACGGCATGATAGACCCTACCTTGCATGAGCCCAATTTACATTTCATCTTCCATGTCTTTTTTCCAGCTGATTCTCAGTAATTGGGCTACTAGGCCTTGAAACCCAATACATCCTCATATAGCACCTTATACCTAAACCAAACCCTGCATGCTCCTTCAATGAAGCCTTACCTCATATTCCATATGTAACCCTACTTATTCCTTTTTGGGAGAACCCTCAAAACCCTACTTTAGCATATTCCTACAACGCGGCCTACCTTGCATGAATCATAATCCTAATTATCCATCGTCATCATCAGCATCATACTTTAAACCCTAAATATAACAGTAGTTCTTTTTCCCACTGTCATTCATACTCCTTTATACCCCTATAGATAATGAAGATCTAACTTGTATGCATCAAGGACTCTCGGATAAAACCCTGTCTAGCAACCCTAAATCCTAAATCCTAAGCCCTAAACCCCATAGCATACGAAAGCCTTACCTGCCATGCATCAAGGACTTAACCCTAAGTCCTAAACCCCAAAATCAAAAACCCTACATCCTGAATCTAAGCCCTATGAACCCTACAGTACTATAATCCCCTTCCCCCTAATACTCAACACCCCCTATGAAATACGGGTTCCCCAGAATTCCAAAACCTAAACCCTGAACCCTAAACCGCCAAGGACTCCCGAGGCTTCAACCTGCTCGATTTGGCAGCCTTTGCCGGCGACGAGGTGTCTTGCTTACAGAGGGCTTTGCAGGCTTAGGATTGAGTTAGAGTTTTAAGAATTCAGGTACTTGGGGTTTGCAGATTTAGGACTGAGTTAGGGTCTAAGATTTGAGGTACTTGGGGCTTGCAGGTTTAGGATTGAGTTAGGGTCTAAGATTTAATGTACTTAGGGTTTGTAGGTTTAGGACTGAGTTAGAGTCTAAGATTTAAGGTACTTGGGGCTTGCACACTCCGCAACATCTGAGGCTCTTGTGGGGACGATGCTTGCGGCAGACGGCATCCTGGCACCCTTCAGGGTCTATTCTGGGTTTGGTATCTCGGGTTTGTGGGTGGGGCTTTTGGTTACTGGATTTTGGGGTAAAAGAGTTAGGGCTGAGGGCTTAGGATCTAGAAGGATAAACACTCCCCCATTAATTTCTGGAGGGTACACGTTTTCCATGGAGGATTAGGATTTTGGTCTGAGGTATATGTTCTGACATATGGGCCCGTATTTGTGGTCCTTAATGATCGAATTGTAGCATTTCGGGTGTCTACAGGGGTGCAACTGTAGGGGTATATAGTACTGTAATTATAGCTCTCCCTAAGCAGATAGAATATGGCCTTGGGTATATCATAATAAGATCCCCATATATCCCATGTTCTATCTATCTATGTGGGGCCATAATTCATGGTTATCAGAGAAATTACTGCAATCTATGCAGTGTTCTATATTGTGGCAGTCTCACGAGCTTGGAGGATGGGAGGTTTCTTTTGCTAAGTTGCCCTTGGGTCCTGCCCCCGGCTATTAACAGTATATAATAGGGGGTCATATTAAGGGCTCTATATATACACATATTATAACTATTACTACAACTGTTGATGGGTGGGGGGCAATACCCAAAGTTTGCCCCATCATTTGGGTCCATGCGAGGGATCCTTCATACTTAGGGTATGGGAGTTTTCCTCACAATGCTACAAAGCTGATCATGTCTCTCCCCGGGGTAATAATAGGAATCGAGTCATGGCCAGGCATCCCTAGGAAAACGACTTTTTAGAGTAGGGTTTCGGGTTTAGGGTTACAGTCCCCTTTAAGTGATAGAACATGGCTTTGGGTATATTATACTAAAATCCCCATATACCCCATATTCTATCTCCTTAAGGGGATCTATAAGTTTCGGTTTCGGAGAAAAGAAACTTGGCTCTCGAGAATTTCCAGCCCTGACAGTTCTACCCCAGACATAAGGCCTCAATCCGTTCAGCCTCGACCCCATACTATACCCCTAAACCCTAGGAAAAGCCAGTAAGCCCTAAGTCCAAAGAGCAAAATCCCTAACCCTTGAAGAGCCACCCTAAACCCTAAACCCTAAACCAAGATCCTAAAACCTTGAACCATGTTCCTGAAGCCCTCCAGCTGAGGCACGCTAGCGCAGACTGCCGGGAAGCTCTCGCCTCTGATGTGGGCACACTGGTGTAGCCAGTCTGAGGCCGCCCCTCCTCCCTCCTGGTGTGAAGTTTGAGGTTTCACGTTTAGGAGGTTTTCGTGATAAAGGCTTAGGGGTGGGGGGTTTGAAGGTTTGGAGTTTAGGCCGTTTTAGGTTGGAAGTCAAGCCCCATCAAGGATTACACGGTATTCGAGGGGGCTGCAAGTACGACAAGTTTTCTCTGAATGAGGCTCTTTCAGCGATACTATGCAGAGTATTCTTCATATTTTTTGCTATTTTGATGTACTTTGAGGTGGTGACTCATCCAATATGCAACCACAGGCCTGCGTAGTCACCGCCTGGTGTATACAGCCAGTCAGCAGTGCCAAAACAAACCAACAAGCCCACCCATGATTATACAGCTGATCATGACCGGACTCTCACGGTAAGGCTGTCGGTGACTAGAATACATTAAGACTGAGAACGAGAATTCGGCAAATGTATCGGAATGTAGCCTTCATCACGACCATTTCACATCATACTTGGTCTGTCGTAGAGGCTTCATGAGAGGGGTTGCCGAAATCAGAGGTACCTTTTGGGGGGTCCCTTCAATATGGACATTTTGGGGGTGATGTTGGCCCCCTATTCATGGAAGCTACCATGTGGATCCTCAACCACGACATGGCAAACTTGTGGGCGAAACGTGTTGCTAGCACAGCAGGAGAACGCCAGCTAAAACGTCAGGACATTACAAGTGTTGGGCAAGTCTTCCCCATGTGTAGTGTTTTGGGTTTACCAGTTATAGTCCCCCTAAGTAGATAGAATATGGCTTTGGGTTTGTTGTAATAAGATCCCCATACACCCCACATTCTATCTTCTTCAGGGGGGACTATACTAGCCTATTCTTTTCTGCAAGTTCCTCTGACCCGTATCTTTGCCGCGCAGCCTGTGGCTCACACAACGTTGACTCACTTCTTGTTTTGCTTGGAGGTTGAGGGCTTAGGGATTGGGGTGCGAGGCTCGTGAACTTTACCGCAGACCTATGTGAGCTACTGTTAACATTAAGCTTGTAGTTTAGTATAGTCTCTTTATCTAGCCCCCGTTAAAGGAACACGTGTCCATTACATTATGTAGAAGTAGAAGTATTGACTGTAGCTCATGAGATTTGTGATCTTTGGGCTTCAGGCCCCTCCTGAACCCTTCACTCCCCAAAACCCTGCACCGCAACAGGTCGTGTTGAAGCTGACATCCCAGGGCAGCAGCTGCTCGACTCAAACAACACGCAACACGCCCTCCCAAAACGAAGCACTTTGGTGATCAGTTGCCTCAAGAACTTCCCTCTCATTTAGTATTCAGCGGCTCAGGAATGAAAATGATTAGGGTTCAAGTTTTCAAGCTTGATGTACTGGTGGTAAGGAATGCAGGCATTGAACCTTGCAGTGGGACGGTGGGTTGAAGTTGCAACGGGATGTCGCTTGCCCAAAGCCTGACTCAGGCAAGCAGATGCCCACCCACCAACAGTCAACACAAACTTTAGCTGTAATTAAAACTATGTCCCTAATATGTTCCGGACCTATGGCTGCTAGTGGGCAGGGGGACAGCCTAACAGACAGGAAAATGCACAGTGGATGATTCTGAAGCCCCTAATGCCTGATCTGGCTTGCAAGAGGCAAGAGCCAAGATCTGGGTGGGGGGTTCAGGGAAGAATGTTCTGCAGGTCGTTGTAGATCGTAGACGGTCTCCTGTGAGTGACAGTGGCAGTATGTAGTGGGAATGAGAAGTATTAGCATTGACAGTCAGTGAGTATGCCAGGATGACTTGAGAGGAGGACTTTTCATCATTTTCTTATTCTGATGTTGTTGGTAGTAGATACTTGTATTGTGATTAGAAGCGGTCGTAGTAATAGCTTTAGCAGTAAAAGCAGCAGGAACAGGAGCAGCAGCACTGCTCGCAGTCTCCCTCCGATACACATATATCCCGTGGATCCCAAAACGTGCGAAACCCCCACTCCATATCTTCGAAAGCTCCAAATCCTAAACCCCAAATCTTGAACCTCAA